TTCATTTGAACAAACTTGAATCCCCTTCACCCAAGGATACTTTGTGCCAAGTTTGGTTGAAATTGGCCCAGTGGTTCTTGAGGAGAAGATGAAAATGTGAAAAGTTAACGACAACGACAACAACAACGACGACAGACGACGGACAAATTTTGATCAGAAAAGCTCACTTGAGCCTTCGGCTCAGGTGAGCTAAAAAAGTTCATCGTGAAAAAAAGTCAGGGTATTAACTACAGATGATTCTTTTTAAAATTAAAGTTTAATTTAATTTTCGCTAGTAAAATTTAATCATATATATAAATTAATGATTTAAAAAAATGAAAAAAAAAATTAAATATTCTTTTTCTGGTCATTCACTAGTTCGTCTAATTAAAACGAAACAAAAATCATTTTGTTTTCATCTTGAATCATTTAAGGATAAATAACACAAACAATTTTTTTTTCAGAAATCAGCATTTTTCATAGATTTACATTTAAATTGACAACCTGAGTAATATTTACAAAGTAGAGTGGGAGAATTATATAAAATTTTGTCATAAGGTTAAAAAATTGTACAAAATTTTATATGGAATTATACAGAAGGCAAAACAAAATCTCATATATAAGCACCAAGGAAAATCTACGATTTCTTTATATTTCAGGGATTTATGATATATGTTATTTCAAATCAAAATCAGTCAAAAAATACATATCAACCGGCGCATCCATTTTTTGTTTGTGGTAAGAACCCTTAAAGCCATATATGGCGTATGTACAATGAAAATTATTAGACTGAAATTATAAAAACTTATTATTTGTATCATTAATTATTTAAACATGATAAAGATAGAAATTTTCCGTAAATTACAAAATCTAAGTCAATTGCGTTATAAAAATATCAAAACTTAATTTGGATTCTCGAAATTTTCTCCGACTTGGAAGAAAATACAAAAGATTTAAATAACACATTACAGAGAAGATAAAATCGTATTATTAGATGAAACGAGGTGTTCTCCGTGCTCCGAATTGTATGAAAAGCTGTAATTTAAATGTATTAACTATATTTCTTTACTTAATTTTGTATTTTTCAAAAATATATCTTTTGAACAGTTACGCCATATATGGCTTTAAATAAAAAAAAAAGCGCAACATAATTGCATGACATTTGTGACTGCGACTGGGAAAATGGGGCCAGATGAGCTAAAATCAGATTTGGAGTTTTTGTCATTTTTTAAATCCTCATAATTTAAATAATTTTTTTTCAAAAAACCAGAGTCATATCTGAAGGGGTTTTGAAGATATGACGAGATCTGTTCATTGACCCTTTATAGGGTTATTACATAAAAGACACTGAAAACAGGGAAAATGCACTTTTTCTATGATATTTAATCTGAACTTCAGATTTAAAACCAGGGAAAAGTAATGACTTAAATATACACTTTTTCCTAAAAATAGATGGAATAAAAATTTTAGAAATGTTCAGATTTGTAACCATTGTTGTTATGGCAACAAAATAAATTAAGAATTCTTATCATTTACATAATCATCTTTACAAGAGTTCAAAGACAATCGGTGTTTATAAAAGTTTCAAGATTTCATTCACATCCTGTGTTCATAAATTTTCAATTTTTAAGGAAGCTATAAACACTAACATAAATTTTTTTCTGGCTTGGAGAAAATTATGTCATATAAAAGTGTACGAGGGTTGTTCGAAAATTATTGAGACATTTTGTATATTTTGCTTTTTAATGAATGTTTTTCGGTGAAAATTTGCATATACGTTTGACATACATTAAGAATTAATAAAAACAAAAAATATTTTACAAATATTTAATATTTTCTGTACAGTGGTATCTAAATGCGTCATCAGTAGGGGTACCCGGAGCAGTCTCGAAATCAGATATTGAAAATATGTAACATCAACGTTCTAACTCTTCGTGGACCCATAATAAGAGCGAAAATAATTTTGTTTTTGTGAATAATTTTTCAGCTTTAATTCAAATTCATGTTGTCCAACTTTGATAGAATTTTGATCAGGAATACGGAGATCATTAAAAAAATTAATCCCGGTAGAGAATTCCGCTAAGAAAAAAAAAAAGGATTTTGACGTCAAGGGCGGAGCAGCGAAGATACCTAAAATTTTGTGTAGCGCAATGGAGAACTCTTTTCCAGACACAGCGACCTGCTAAAATAATAACTACGAAAAAAAGTGTGTTAGGGTTTGTTATTTCATTGGTATACATTTTTTTTACAATTAATTCGACCGGAGTAAAATCAAAACCTCTGGACGACCATCAGTTATTACGTACGGTAATAATATCGTTACGGTATCAATATCGTTGACTCGCATTGCATAAATTGGCACTGCGTGATTTTAAGTCATCTTTTCCCACAATGAAAATATCACACTCGGATAGCAACAGCATACATTTTTAAGGAATAGTTTAAGAAAAGAGACTGTTTGAATTTTGTACTGTTATATGTAAAAACAAGGAATGAAAAAGATGAAACGCTTCCCGATCGTTTTACATGCAAAACCATCCCTGGCTGACGTGACGTTAAAATGACGTGATGCTGCTCCTAGTCGATGGACATATGCATGTTTATTATTTCACCGAAACTTTTCTTATTATCATTGGAATTAGAAATTTTGCATAAGTGCTTTATTCGTTCTTTATAAAATGTTGATGAATTTTCCTGAAATTATCTCAGTCCTTTGTGGAGTAAATGTAATTGTCTCAATAATTTTCGAACAGCCCTCGTACAGACCAAATTCATATTCAACATAAGGTACCTATAGTATTTCCCTGAATATATGTTCACAGACAGTTAAGGTATCTTAAGTAAACTCAGTGAACAGAAATTACGCCTGTTTACTTACATTGGGAAGATACATGCAAATGATTTATCCAATTACTTTATCTTATTCTAACAAACACGTAATGTTAAGAACACTTTTATCTAGTACACATTGTGTCTTTCACTGCAGATTTTAGTCTATTCTATCTTATATCTAAGGGCAAATCACTCTAAGTTGCAATAAAACTGCCATGAGATTTAGTTGTCTTTAGTGTGGTGTGCAGTGTTAAGAGCTTCCTTAAACAACTGAGAAAAAATACAATAAACTTCCTGAGAAAAAAATGCCATCTCATTGCACAGTGCACTTTATAAGAGCATGCTAAAAGAAAATGGTAGACAAACATGTACATATACACTCATGTACAATGTACTTAAAGATGATGATATGGTGGTATATATAACTATATCACTTTAACAGTAAAGCATGAAAGTAAATAATTTATGCAAAGCATAAAGCAATAAGCAAACTATACTATATGGATAAATCACAAATTGGCAGATAATCATGAAAGTGTTACAAGGTAAAATGAATAGAAAAAAATTCATGTTACAGCTGTACATTGCAACTTCCACTTAACAGAGCATGTGTTGGATAAAACATGTTAATTGACATTGACAATTACACATTAAAGAAATCGCCATCATTGAATCATAACTTGCCTTACTTTAAACAAACCATCATACACATACTCATCAAATAGTGTTATTAACATGTGCATGACACATTTCATACATATAGAGAATCTGAATTGACCAGGTAATATAAAAAACAATCAATCACAACTCTGCAACACTAGAAAACCATAAATGCTTTGATAAAACAATATCGAAACATGTACAAATCACATGTTAAAAACATGCACAGAATTAACCAGAGAACATGTAAATCTTTCCTATAAACTTCAAGTAAAGCAAACATTTAATAAAATACCTTACATTTTAAAAATGTTCATACATGTTGAAACATGTACAGAATTCACAATCAGTGAATTACATGTACAAGCTTAATTTAGTAAAGCTTTTTCCTATTACCTTTTGGTTTATATTCTTCACAGCATTCTGTTAAGTCTATTTCTTTTTGGGTACAGTAGGTTTTGGACATATGCATTCTTTTGCTGTCTGTGAATAACAATGCTCTCTGATGTGGTCATATAGGTACCATTGTCGGGCAGGTTCAAGGCCTTTAATGACAGATGGAGAAGGAAGAACACCTGGATTCGGAACTTTACTTTTGCTTTTCAGTAACATGAAGGTGACAGGCTCAGATGAAGCATTTTCCCGACATGTAATAATTCCTGGATCCTCTGAATCCATGTAGAAATGGTGGTAGTGGGTTAGGTATTTCAGTGGTTTAAAGTACAGTTGTAAATAATTCTTCCATTTATAGAACAAGACAGGATCTTCAGCACCACCTACAACCTGTGGTATATTATGACCACTTCTACTGGAAGTCCTAACGGATTCTGCCACCTTAAACACAATCATAGGGAAAATGTTTTGAAAAGACACCAGAAAATGAAATATAAAGATCTCTAATTTTTTAATTTCAGAAAGAAAACTTGACAAAATAAATATATATCATGGCTGGATACATGTATATTTTCATGTACTTGTAAATAAAAGTACCTGTGGTATTGTTTCAGCATTGGTGTTTCTCCAGTGCACCTTCCAAACATCAAAATGCCAGTCTGGCTCAAATTTTGTGTGACCAGCTACCATCATCGAGTATTCTATGGTTCTGTGTAGCCCTGAAGAAAATGTTGAAAACTTAATATCTTTTCCTTTCCTTGAGATGCTGTTGATATGTATTGAAAAAATTCATGTAAAGTGTTGATAACACTTAGTCTAATAAAACGGGTGTACTGTAGCACACATTACACACTACCTATTACAGAAATTATAATGACATCAGCATCTACCTACCTGTAAACACTCTCCAAAGTCCATACCATAACACAACATTGTTTTTATTTTGTCCTGTACAGTTATCAAAGTGAACCTTGAGATCTGTTTCACCATGCCCAAACTTAACAAAGTACATGTAATGGTGCACCATGCGTGTAACACAATTAGCTCCTTTCCCAGGATTAGCTGCTATGTCAATGTGATAAAAGGTCTGTTTTCCTGTAAAATAAGCATGTACATAAATAACAAATCAAACAAACAAGTGTCCAAATAAACATGTAGTAGTAATACAGCAATCACTTTATTAACACAAGTTTTGCTCCATGGATTTTTCAATGTAGTTTTAAAAATTATAATCATATAAATAATAAAAATCAAAGATGTTACATGGTAAATATAACATTATAATGTTTAAAAAAGGTCCCCAAAAAAGAAACATTCATAATGAAAGGTATAAATGAAATCTAGGTAAAAAAAATGTAGTGATATAAATATTTAGATCATGAATATCACCAAAAGGAAAAATATTCCTTAGAACAGCTTTGATGAGGAAAATTACCTGATCCTTCAGAACAGATACCAATAACATGGCATTTACGAGGGGATTTAAAGTAAATCGGCCCCACTTGTTGAGCATGGTGTGGAATATGCACCTGTTGAGCAAAATCCCAGGAGTAGTGCAAGGTGGTTTGAACTGACTGTGGTGGGTTACCTATTAAAAAATCACAATGTTATTGATACATGTAAAAGAAAAATCTGCGTCAAAAACTTTACTCTGATACAGCAGATACATTGTATTAAAATAAATAATACAAACAATAGAAAATTCAATTTCATATCATGTAATATATTACATGTCTCTGTTCCATAAATGTAGGTATATATTACACATTATTATACTTTCATGTTAAATGCTAAAATCTGATTGGTTTAGACGCAATTAACAATCCGTTCGATTACCCTGAGCCTTAGCAACACACGTGACAACGGGTAACACAACGGTAATGCCACATGCGTGGAAATTATGCGCGTACGGTTCACCGTAGAATTCTCAAAACGTCAGTTGCGCGTTTGAAAGAACCGGAATTAACTTGACGTCAATAAAAGCTTGCGTCCTATATAGCTTACTTGAAAACAACAAACGACAGACGATACATGCTTGCGAGTGTAGGAAACATGCTTGCGAGCCAGAAATAACGAAACTTTATATGATAAATGACTCTAATTCGAGTATCAAACAAACAATAAGGAGATTAGTGAACCGGTGAGTGTGAAAGCTTTATATACATGAACGTAAAGACGATCGACGGTTTTTTTGCTGACGTCCTAAATCAATAAGACATTCAGTATAATAAAATAAATGGTGCCTGTTTTGTAGGGTAACATTTGAAAACCAGGCCCCCAGCTGACGCGTCGGTTGACAATGGTTTTCCTTGGGGTGTCAATTTCAAATGTTACCCTACAAAACAGGCACCATTTATATAATATGTCCTACATATTTTATTAGGTTAAACATGTGAACTTTTTTTGGTTTGAAAACTTACCTGAACGACGGTGGGAAACAGTTCCGCTTTAATAATCAGATCAAGCTCATCCTTGTTGACTTGTTTACAGTGCTCTCGGAATTCGATTGCCGATTATATGTCAATAACTGTACTGCGTGGTTCACCGTAGAACCCCTTACAGCTACATGTATCACTCCTAAAGCAGGCCTGGACAACATACTTCCTTGTGTCCTCATCAGTTGGTTCAATATTTATTGGGTCCACGTCTTCATCATGGCCGGAATCAGATTCAAAGTTTTCGTCAGAACTATTTTCGTTTTCGATCACATTCCCTTACCAAACTGATATGTTTGCTGCAGGCCTGCAGCAAGTCTGCTGCAAGCTTGCAGCAAACAAAATTGTTCGCAGGAAGAAAATTTTCTTGTTCGCAGATGATTGCCGCTAGCTGCAATCTTGCGGCAAACATTGCAGCAATTGCTGCAAGCTTGCAGCAAATTCGCAGGAACCCAACATGTTTGCAGGAACATTGCAAGAAATATACACGCCAATTTAATGTTCGCAGCAAGTTCGCAGGAAACATTTCATTATTCGAATGTTTGCAGGAAGTTCGCAAGAACAGTAAACAAGTCAAATCAGCCAATGAAATGCAGATTGTACTGGGGTCAGCACAGAACTGGCCATTTTGAAATGTTTGAATTGAAGTTGTATATGTTTCAGTATTTTGTTAGAAATATATACCGTTTTGAATGATCAAAAGTGCAAAACTATAATGGACGTAGGTGTTCAATTGGCATCCGTGATATCTAATTGGTAAGATCTGATGTTGTTTTATTTTGATGTAAAAAAAATCTTAAAAGCAGTTGTTAAAGTAACTTAATGTGTAACTGCTAGGTCAAATCTAAATCTATTTATTATGAATTTCAGTCCTTTTTTTTAATATCACATATGTATACTTGTACTTCTTAAATGTATTAATGGACATAAATCAGTTAAATGTTTTCAAATTAATTAGTAGCTGTGTAATTACGGTAATAATCAATGAAAAATTATATGTAAAGTTCTTAATGTTCTGTACTATAACTATAATGCACTTTGATTTTTAACAAGTATGAAAGCTTTGTTTAAGAACATAAACAGAGCCTATCAAAACTTCATAAAATTGCATCATTTCAGAAACATGTGGTGGATTTCCTCTAAACTTAACAGATTTAGGTCAGGACAAAAGCTTTCTGCGAACTTGCTGCTTGTACACAGGAATGTGCCAAAACCATAAGGAAATTGTTTGCTGCAAGTTAGCAGCAATGTTTGCCGCAAGCTTGCAGCAATGTTTGCGGCAGGCTTGCAGCAATGTTTGCCGCAAGCTTGCAGCAAGGTTTCCATATTTGGAAAATCCAGTGTTTGCTGCAGACTTGCAGCAAACCTCATTTGCATGGTAAAATGTTTGCAGTAAGCTTGCTGCAGACTTGCTGCTAACTTGCTGCAAACACCAAGGCTTTCTATAGACTGTCAAGCTTTCTTTGGATACATTGGGGCAAGCTTGCAGCAATGTCTGCTGCAAGCTTGCAGCAATGTTTGCTGCAGACTTGCAGCGAATATTTGCAGGAAGGCAATATTTTCGGTAAGGGTTGTTACTTTCAGTAAAAATACAATTCATCTACTACGTTTAATTCTTCTATGAAACTAAGATCTTGTTTATCTAAAATTTCTTGTGGTATAGAACACCTACTTCTTGTCTCCTGATTCATGACGCCTCATCTGACCGCCATATCAGATCACCAATGAAAACAAAAAGAAGGGAAGTAAATCGAAAACTTCGGTTTCATTATTTTGGCGCTTAATTTAAAACTAACAAAAGAAAAAAAAATATTGGCAGCTTTTGAAACAGACGACATAATTAATAATTACATGAAATTTAAAAAAGAAACTATGACATTAATAGGCCTAAGTGAAAAAACAAACAAAACTTAGAAAACACGTGTCTAACGTTTTTAGCGCGCCATGCTTGTATCTATGACGTAAGTTTGATCGCCGATTTCTCATTACGACGTTTGCCGCATCTGGCCCTTTTTCCCAGTCGCGGTCACATTTATCATTGAGCTGATTGAGTAAATGTATATAATTTCATAGTGAGATATCTGTGAGGCATATATGTACATGCAAATATTGCTATATTAAACAAAGGAAAGAGGGATATTCAAATTAGGAAAAAAAAGATCGTTTTTAAGTAAATCAGTCTGGTAGTACTGCAAAATGGATGCAGTTGTGGAATCTTATGGATAATAGGAGCATGCTGTCTGGAATATTTCCATATAGGGAATTTAATAGCAAAAAGGAGTGAAAATACCGGTGGTGCTTTTCATGCATTACATGTGTATTTTAAAATTCCTAATAGCCAAAGGGGATTCCTCAGTGCAGAAAACCACTAGCCCCATCCTCAAAAATGGAAGCCCCGGATGTAGCGCGATGCTAATTACACACCCATCATGTGAAATAGTTATAGTAGCCCTATATCAATTTCAGTATTGTTTTAAATTAATTAAAACAAATGCCAAAAACAATAATTAAAAAAAAAATCAAAATAAAGCAGACACTCGGTAAAAATCAAAGACAGAAAGAAGCACTGTTTTGACTGAGAGTTTTTCAGTTATACAATGAATCTCTTACATATCAGATGAGATAAACTTACATACAATTATTTAGTTGTTGTCAATTATCCCATTTATCATCATCTCAGCTCACTTTGCGATTGTAATACTGTCTACATGAACCGATAATTTACAACTGATTTATGAACACACGATTGTTAAAATTTTCATTTCCCTTTCCAATATACATTGTCAGAACATACTTAGTTGGTTATGATATGAAATTAAATAATTAAGACTTTCGATCTATTAAAGATTATCTAACAATATACGATCATTTACTAAATACTTCTCGCCCTCAAGAGAGTTAAAAAGACAGAGAAAATTCAAAATACATACAAGTGCAACTTAGGATTAATTTTAGGATATATCTATTTTAATTCTGTGCACATTTGTTTTCAAAATTACATTAAAATCAATTTTCCTTAAACAAGAACCCAGCAATAGATAAATATTAATCAAATAAACTTACCTTTTCTCTTGTCAATCAGACAATCTTGTTGACATTAAGTGTTTCTTAGTCACCATATTTTTTTTTCCATGAAAACAAACGTTGTTATGATCAGGATCAACGGAAGTTGATTTTCGGAACTCTCGAGAATTTAGAGTTCCGAATGTAAAACTGAAACACAAAACACGGTGCGTCCGTGAAAGCAACTTTTTTGGACACTTTTTTGGACAAATCGTTTTGTCCAAGTTTTGTTGGGTACTAACCTGCAAATACCCAATTAGGGTGTTTTAAGCATATTCAGCGACACTTCTTATTGGGTATACCCAATAAGCAAAAAGTACCCAATAAGTACAATCTTGGCATGAAAAATACCCAATAAATGCACTCTCGTAAACACGGACAACAGACAGACAGACGGACGGAGAGGACGCATTACTATG